AAACTCTCTTTTGGATTTTTCTCTCAAAAGAATTCATCTCTCACCTACAAACAATGAGCTTCTCTCTCACTCAAAACTTTCTACATTTTGATTTCTCTCACATATGTTAATAGAAATGAAAACATACATGACTTTTATAGCCAACATGCATAACAAAATAGATGGCCATAGTTTAAGGAGTATTTTTCTCCTTCTCTTTTTCATTGAGTTCCTTAGAATTCTCTTGTACCTTCTTTCTTTCCATTTGCTATTTTATTTTTACTTATCTCCCCTTCTTTTTTCCCTCTTCTTAAAGAGGAAAAATCATCAATCTCCCCTATTTAATTTAGGAGGAGGGCTCCAACAGTCCATCAACTCTTCTATAAGACTTGTACTTATCCTTAGGTAAGGACTTGGTTACCATATCTAAGCTATTGTCACCAGTATAGATTTTTTCAAGCTGTAATTGCATGGTTTCCAATATATCATGTATCCAATGATATCTCACATCAATGTGTTTTGATCTCAAGTGAAAAGTCGAAGTCTTACTCATGTGGATTGCACTCTAACTAATGCATGAAATACTTATGTTGTTCATGCCCTAACTCATGTAAGAAAAGCTCATCCATAGCATTTCTTTGCAAGCTTCTGTTACTGCAATGAACTCTACCTTTGTGGTAGACAAAGCAACACATTTTTGTAACTTAATTTGACTGCCAAAATACCGTTCCCCCTGAAAATGTAATCAGGAATCCAAAATTAGATTTCCTAGAATCAGTATCTCCCACTATATCTGCATTTGTGTAGCCAATAAGTTCAAATCTTCTACTTTAAGAGCATAAACTCATTCTGAAAGTTCCTTTGAGATATCTTAAAATCCATTTTACAACATTCCAATGTTCTTTTCCTAGTTTAGCCTAGAATTTGCTTACAACACCAATTGCATGTGTTATGTTTGGTTGTGTGCACACCATTTCATACATTAAGTTTCCAACAACTAAGGCATATGGCACCTTGCACGTCTCCTCCTTTTTAATTTCACTCATAGGACTTTGCTTTGAACTTAGCATAAAGTGACTAGCAAGTGGAGTAGTAATTGGTTTTGCTTTCTCCATGTGAAATTAATCCGATACCATCTTGATATATTTTTCTTGTAATAACCAAAACTTTTATTCCTTTTGATCATGTCAAATAGACATACTAAGAATATGCTTCGTGGGTCCCAAGTCTTTTATAATAAAATACTTCTTCATTTCCTTCTTCATCTTGTTGATCTTCTCACTATTTTATCCTACAATTAACATATCATCAACATACAAAAGTATTATGATGAAGTCACCGTCAATAAATCTTTTCACAAATACACAATGATCATAAGTAGTCCTTTGGTTTCCATGTTCAACCATGAAGGAATCAAACTTTCTTATACCATTGACATGGTGCCTACTTCATATAGACTTTTCTTCAATTGACATGCTAAATCCTCTTTGCCTTTGACTTTGAATCCCTCTAGTTATTCCTTGTAAAATTCTTCTTCTAAATCGGCATGAAGAAATGCAATTTTCACATATAGTTGCTCACGTCTAAATTCAAACTTGCATACAAACCAAACGCTACCTGAATAGATGGCATTTTTACCGTTGGTGAAAAAATCTCTTCAAAGTCAATGTCTTTCTTTTGACTAAACCCTTTCACGACTAACCTCACCTTATACTTGGGTCGTGAGATATTATCCTCACTCTTCAACTTGTACATCCATTTGTTTTGAGTTCTATTTTACCTTTTGGCAACTCTACCAACTCATAAGTCTAACTCTTATGCAAGGATTGCATTTTTTCTTGCATGGCTTTCAACCACTCTCCCTTGTGGTCATCTAACATAGCTTCTTCATAAGACTCTGGTTCTCCCCATCAATGAGTAGCACATACTCCATTGTAGGATATTTGGTTTTTGGTTTAGACATCCAGACTGTCCTTCTTAATTAGGGCTCTTGAATAGCTTGTTATTCTTCCTCAAAGTCCTTAGTCATATCATCATTGGTACCACTATTCCTATTACCATCAACTACTTTTTCATTTGGATCATTATCAATTGGTGGTTCATTTTCTAAATCTCCAACATCTTCTATTACATCTCCCCTGTAATGCTCTGGAAGAGGAACTAGATCCAAGTTGATTGCATGTTCTCTAGAATTAACAAGCTTAAGCCCCTTATGAATGTCTTTAATATTCTGGTCTTCAAATAAGACACATCTCTACTTCTAGTAATCTTTTTATCAACAAAATCCCATAGTCGATACTCGAATTCTTCATTTTCATATCCCATGAAGATGCATTCCTTAGACTTGAAGTCGAGTTTTGATCTCTTATCTTTTGCAAATAAACAAATGCTATACAGTCGAACACTTTTAAATAATTATGGGATACATTTTTACTTGCCCAAAACCTATTTGGAACATCATACGAAGTTGAATGGGATAAATTGATCAAATCAATTGTAGTCATCAGAGCCTCACCCCAAAATCTCTTGGGTAATTTGGCATGAGATAACAACATCATCACCCTTTCAACAATAGTTTTGTTCATCCTCTTAGCCACTTCATCATTCTAAGGTGTCTTCAGAATAGATCGTTTATACTAAATTCCTTACTCATGCAATAATTTCTAAAATCTCCCATAAATTCTATTTCATTGTCAATGCGAACACATTTTAACTTAATTCCAATTTCTCTCTCAACACTAGCATGAAACTATTTGAATACTACAAACACCCGATCTTTTATTTTGAGGGCATATGCCCAAACCTTCCTAGAATAATCATCAATAAAGGTAGTGAAATACCTTGCACCTCCATGAGTATTGGTGGCCATTGGACAACAAAATATTTGGTCTTCTTTGTAGAGCCTTGTAACAGAATAAAGCTCTATGTTGCTTTCTAGCCAAACAATGTGTACATGGTTTAAGTGACATTTTTTATCCTTTCACACCTACTAACATATCTATTTTAGCTAGAATTTGAAGTCCCTTCTCAATCATATGTTCGAGCCGTTTATGTCATAGCTCGATTGAGGAGTCTTCTCCGAGAGCATTAATGCAACCGTTATTGATTTTGGCTTTTATCACATAAATAGTGCATGATTTCTTGCCTTGGGCTATCACCAAGGAACCTTTTGTTAGATTCCGTTTTTTATTTCCAAATACACTAGTATAGCCTTCTTCATCTAGTAGGCCTGTAGATATTAGATTGAGATGCATGTTAGGAACATGTCCCACAACTTTCAATATTTATTTCTAGGAAAACATCTCCTTTACCCACAATCTTGGATCTATTATCATTCCTCATCCTCACATAACCAAAATCACTATTTGTCTGGGAGGAAAAGAAATGCCTCCATGAGGTTACATGAAATGATGCACCAGAATCCATGACCCAACATGCATCTTGTGATGTCAAATTAACATGACCATCATTGCAAACAAAGATTACCTCATTCGCATGAAAAATGGTAGCTATTATGTTACTTGCATCACCATTTTCTTGCTACTCTCTTTTGAGCTTCATGTGTTCTCTCTTCATGTGGCCTTTCTTGTGACAATAGTAACATTCTACGTTTCTTCTTATCCTTGATCGTCCTTTGAACTTATCTGTTAATTAGCCCTTTGACTTGTCTCTAGTGTTGAACTTCTTGTGGATGCTTCTTCCATGATACTCTATGATAAGCGCCTCAGACTTTGTTGGCATTCCTTGTTCCTTTCTTCTTAATTCTTCATTGAACATGTTATCTTTTACTATGTCCAATGTTAGAACACATTATGGTGTTGAGTTACTCAATGAAACAACAAGTGTGTTCTAATTGTCTGGTAAGAAATTCAGTATTAACAATGCTTGCAATTCATCATCAAGCACCATCTTCATATTGGTGAGTTGATTTATCGATCCTTGAAAATCACTCAATTGTTCAGAAACATTTTGGGTCTCTCTATACTTGAGGTTCACCAATTGCTGAATAATAGACTTTGTTATGGGTCATCTTTCTTTCGTACAATGTTTCTAGTTTTGTTCATAACGTGAATGCAATTGTTTCTTGTACCATGTGATGAAAAAGACACTTTGATTTATCAATTGCCGAATGTGTCCAATAATTTTCCTGTTCATCAAATTTCAATCTTCACTAGACTTCTTGATTGGCTTCGTCCCTTTATTTTGCAAAGGCTGGTACAAATCTTTACGGTAGAGGATGTCCTCCATTGTAGAAATCCAAATAGAACACTTTGAAGAGGTTAATTTAATCATTGTTGTTCATGACGTCAAGCATAACTTGTCTATTATGAATAACACAAGTTAAATTGCGTAATAAACCAAAACTCTGATACTACGTGTTGGAAAATATACCAAATATATATAATTACCTTATACAAGACCAATAGATAATTGATAATCACAAGATTATACTTTTTTTCACACTACGTATAATCACAATGAAATAACAAAAATATATTCCATTTTAAATTAATGAGATTACAAAAGTTGTAATAATAATCTCATCAAAAATATTGGTGGCTAAACTCTCTTTTAAATTTTTCTCTCAAAAGAATTTATCTCTCACCTACAAACAATGAGATTCTCTCTCAAAACTTTCTATGTTTTGGTTTCTCTTGCAAATATTAATAGAAATGAAAGCATGAATGGTTTTTATAGTAAACATAGGTAACAAAATAGATGACCATAGTTTAAGGAGAATTTTTCTCTCTCTCTTTTATTGAGTTCCTTAGAAATCTCCCATACCTTTTTTTTATTTACTATTTTATTTTTATTTATCTGTCCTACTTTTTCTCTCCTCCTAAATAGGAAAACCCATCACTTCACTAGTGGTGTTTCTGTTTCCTTATTCGGATGGTTTCTATATTCTTTTTGTAATTTTTTCTAAGTTAGTGCGTAGTATATGTAAATAGGACATTGCTATTCCTTGTCAAGAAATTCGGTACTATAAATATTGTAACAAATTAAATTAAACATTGTTATTTGTAGAAGAATGTATGTCTTTAAATGGATAGATAAATACAAATTCACCACGTAATTTACATATTAATTCCTGGAGTTGTCTTTCACAATATTCAGCATTTCGCATGTACAAAATTTATACTTTAAATTAAAGAGAACTTAATTAATCAAATTGTTTAAACAGTTTGGCTTGTTTACTACATACCCTTACTAGTTGTTTTCATATGCAGTTTCATTTCAAGCATGCTCATTCTATTATGTCCATAAGCATGAACATATTTGAATATTACATATTTTCTTTATCATGTTTGTTAATTAGTTTCTAAGTCTGATATCAGACTTAGAAACTAATTTTATTTGATGAATAGTGCTTTAGTCTTTATAGTCCAATTCACCTGTTGCTTCCTTCTTCTTCTTGTTCCTATGCATAGATGCAAAACATGTAGACACAAGTACCTGATATTAAACACTGTTAATCAGTACCCTCAAAGAGTTAAGGTAAACATATATGTAGATATATATAACACAGCATTGCATAGATTACATAATCTTATATCATAAAGCAACAATTTAAAAGGGCTTCCGAAATTGATTACCAAAGGCTTCAAAATGCTGAGAGGGGGGCTATACCAGCATTTCAATTAGTACTAGACCTGCTAGAGAAAGCAATAAATATCCCAAGCACGAGAAACCTGATGACCTAATAGTGATGTTATTGTACATACATGGCAACACCAATTACCAAGTAATTACTAATAATCAGTCTAGTTAACTTTTCCATAAAATCAAAGTTGGAAAAGTTAACCATTTTATCACTTTGATGTCAGTGGTGGCAAAGCAGTGGCTCCAACAAAGGATGTCCTCTTCACAAATCGACCTTTCATTCTAGGTCTTTTCTCCGCGTTCAACTTCCTCACTTCATACCTTATCTTCTTTGCAAATAAACGTGTTCTTCTCTTCTCTCGGTACCTTGACACTCTTGCTTCTCTTCCCCCATCTCTATGCCCCATCAAGCTTCTCAATTCCCCATAACGGAATTGAACATCCACACCACTTGAACCCTTGCAAAAAGGACAAAAAACTTGCATGTCAACTATAGAAACAGTCATCAAGTTTGAGCCTCAAAATAATGTAAAAGTTCATACCAAATATTTAAAACTCGCTATTTTTATTGCAATAAATTCGACAAAATCTAGAGCAAAACTATGTAACCACACGACTTAGTGTGTTTAGTTTGTAGTTTTCATGACTTTCAAGACACTTTAACAGAAAAGTTTCTTGTAACTTTGGATCAAACTAACGTTTAAGCATTTCAAACATGAAAACAAACACAGTTACAAGTAGCCACAATCTACAATAAAATATTAGCTGCATGCATAGTTTTTAAAAACGGTCGGTAACCACAATTTCAACTGCACATTGAGATTATTTACTTTTGGGTTTCATGATCACAAATAAAATTTTGGCCACACGTTATGTTTTCTGCAATTTTTAACTATCAAGAATCGTGACGAAACTGAGGCTGCAACCATGACCATGAAACACAATTTAAACCATAACTGCATGCTTGTTAAGGCATTTTGTTTTTTTTTTTAAATAATAGCTCTAGCTTTTTCTTTAATATGTTCTCTCATAGAACTGGAAAAAAAAAATATTTTCATAAAATAAGTTGAACCAAACAGGCACATGACACAGATGCACAAGCAAAGAAGGTTGAGAGAAGAAGTTACCAAAACGTCTGGCCAGCAATCATCAGAGTTGAACTTAGGTGGGGTTCCTGTAGTCCAAGGAGAACCTTGACTGGCCCAAGCAGTAATCACTTCTTCATAGTTTAGCCTCAAAAATATGTCCTTCTTATTGTTAATTCCCACTTTACTCACCTCCTCTTCCTGTTCCTGTGCATGTGATTCTGACTCAGCATTAATATTCCAATTAAAGGCCTCACTATCCATGTCAAGAATATGACAAGCTGTGTCATCACCATCAAGTTCTTCTTCATCTTTAACCTTCACCATTGCATCTTTGGCCCCAATTAGTCCATTAACACATGCATCCATTTCATCACCTTCTTCTTCTTTAAGTAGTAGTTCTGATCCTTTCATGTGCTCACATGAATCCTCACCAGCCCCGTTTCCTAGTAAGTTTTCAACATCAGCAGCAAAGTCAGCAAGGTCCATGTCTGAAGGGAGAAACTCCAAGTCAAAGGCTTCTTCAGCATCAAACACGGGCACGCGACACAGAAGTTGCTCCTCGGACTCGTCATTAAGAAGTGGTTCTTCACTTCCAAGCTCTGGGACAAGGGGAAGAGAACTAATAGTGTTGTTGAAAAACACCTCTTCTTGTTCATGTTGTAGTTGTTGTTGCACTGATGAGTGCTTGTGACGTGGAGTTCTTGCCTTGCGTGTGAATCCACTATGCCATGCTACCTTATTGCTGTCGTGGGGGGTCACTGAGTAGTTGACCTTGGAAGATGCAGTTTGAAGCTTAACCCTTTCGTGCCTGCTTGCTAATTGGTTCGCTGAGTGAACCATGGTGTCACAGCCACGACAAAGGAAAGCATCATCAGCTGCACAATACCAACGTGCTCTCACTTTTAGGCAACTCTCGCATGCTCGTGCTGTTCTTGCTCCTAAGGCACTTGCTTCTTTCATTTCGTTGCTCATAGGAGCTGGTTTTTGGTTGCAAATGTGGTTACCAACAAGGGATCATAAAGGGGGTGTTAGTGTTTGTATTTAGAGATCCAAATGATTCAAATTCAATTATTGGTTATGTTGAGACTTGAGAATGTGATGAGAGAGAAGCACATGGGGTCGGTCTTGTATAGTTTGTTCTTACTCACTCGGTTCCTTCCACATATTGTAATGGGAAATTACTATTATATAGTGCCAGGCCATTGCTTGTTCATGATTCCATTCCGACCTATCTTCACGTAATATATAATCAAGATTTTCAATTTATAAGAGAATTAAGTATTTTAAAAAGTATGTCATCGCTGATCTTAAATATGGTTAGACATATTAGAAAGAATTACTCACAAAGATAAAAAATATTCTGACAAATAAGAAGTTAAATAAAGTTTCATTATTTAAAGTATTATAAAATATAGTCTCTGAAACTTAAAGAGCATTACATTCAGTATGTTATTAGTTAAGATTGTTATTATACAGTGTAATAATTTCTCCTTTTGTGATTTAGGTTTGGTCGTGTAAGTTTGGTAATTTGCTATAGGACACTGGGTGAAGGTCATGGGGACCCACGATTTGGTATCATCGGAAACCTCATTGGCTGGAGATTTGATGTTCATCTTATTCTCTGAATTCTCATTGGTTGCCATTCCTTTTATGGGATTTCTAACGGATCCAATAACAGCTTATGTGTGTCTGCTAGTGTCAGTGTTGTTGGTGTGTGTTAGAGTAAGACCTTTTTGTTGTGTAATTCAATAATTCCTTTTCGCGGTCCTCACTACACGTTGCTTTCACTTCTCATGTGGTTGCCTTCAACTTCTCTCACTTCTCCTTATTTTCCACCGATAGATTCAGCCCTATGCTTGAATAATTTGTTGTTATGGTTGACTAATTTCGAAGATTTCAGCTGTAGAGTTTGGTAGTTTTGCTTCAGAGAAATTTGAACCAGAAATGAATTCATGCTTTGTGTTTTCTAATTGAGTGCGTTCAAAATATGGTTAAATTTAGTATGTGGGGATTTCACCTTGTTTACCCTTTTTTATCTTACACTGGTGGCTCAAATTTTTTCAGCATTGAAGTATTCCATTATTGGACAATCAATCACTGATTTTCTAATATGTGGCCTTTGTAAACATTGAGGATATGATTTATTTGATTGATGTATAACTATATATATATATATAACCCCAACCAAGAGAGTGAAATGGATATTTCCTGTCATTGGATTATGTGTATTAATCAATAATTCAATATATATCTTCTTCTTTAGATACTTAGATGGTTAACTAATATTTCCATCCATGAGAGGCAATTTTGATGTGAAACAAATAGATAGTGAAATAGTGAAATCAATTGTAACAAAATAACTCCGAGGTTGACAACATGACATTCTAGGAATCGGTCCAAAACACAGTTTACCATAAAATTTCCTACATTTTTTTGGGCCCATAAACTTTCTATTAATTCATGAAAACCACAAATTGCACTGGTGTTGGCACATACAGATGCAGCCAAAATGTTGATATTTAAATTTTGTGTTGGTTTTGAAATATTTTATGAACAGTGCAGTCTCTTCCAAGAGGCTCCTTTAGCACCCTTCTACAACTTTCCTTTCATTGCATTCTCTATCACGGGTGCCACGTCGACCTTATCCTTTTAGTGCAAATTTACAAACAGTAGTGACGAAAAAAAGGGACACAAACAGGCACAGAGGGAACAAAGTTTGCATGCTACTGCCTCAATCTCAAATCGCAGTTTTTTCTAATGTAATATTAATTATTTTTTTATTATCAAAAATAATATTTTTATATAGAGAATGAAACAATTTTAATAAAGTTATATTAAAAATGATATTTATTATTATATTTAATTCGTGTTTAAAAACTTTAAGCACAAGAAATACTAACTCGATCAGGGGCAGTATTGAGGAATCTTAGTAGTGTTAATGTCAATTTGATGATGATATAATAAAATCTCCGAGTTTGATGGAACAATAGGAGCATGCTTACTTTTGACACCTGTTACGTGCAATGGGATATGAATGTAACAGATCGGTCAGATATTCTTTATAGATTTTACAACAGGATCCCAGATATCCATGCCAAATTTTGTAGCTGATAGGAAAATGTTTGTTTGTTTGTTATTTATTTTAATGAGTTTAGGGTTGAGCATAAACTTTTACATTGTTATCATAATTATGATTTTTTAAAGTAAGTATTACAAAAATTGAGTATTTATTTTAATATATATATATATATATATATATGATTAAATAATAGTTAAAAATATTTATATTATCGATAGATTTTGTAACGACCTAACAGATCCCAACATTTTACGGCTTAATTATTATAACAGCCAAAAATATAAATTTAATTACCTATGGTTAACATTTAAATAGTACCAAGACATACATGTAGTAATATATATATATATATATATATATATATATATATATGAGGAAGAATTCACTTATTATAGGGTAAAGTTTGCTTAAACTTATTTCATTTAATAACTTAAATTCTATATCAAATTTCGATGATCCAGACGTTGAATTAAATGGTCTTAATGTATAGATCAAGTTTGCAATTTTTAAATTTTTTGAAAACTATTTAATATTTTGTTTTGTTAATTCAAATCAACGTATAAAATATTTTTATGATTATTTGTTAATTTAAATTAATGAAATGGAGTATTAAAAAAATTTCAAATTTTTAAAAAATTTACATATTTGATTTATGCATTAAAAATCTTTAATTCAACAGTTAAATCGTTAAAATTTGATGTGAATTTTTAATTATTGAGTGGAGTAAGTTTAAGCAAACTTACTCCTAGAATAAATAAATCCTTCTTTTATATATGTGAGTAGAAATTTCATCAACAATTGGGATAATAAAGTAAATCTCTCAATGAAACTACAACTATAATCGTACATGTATATAAATACAATAATTTATGATTGAAAGCATAAACATAGGTTGTCAATCAAATAGTTACTACAAAACTAGCTACACAAGGGTACGTAACTCAAGTAATATCACCATCCTCTAGCATGACTCTCAAAACTGACTCATCCTCCCACCTAATCCTGTCTTGCTCTCATAACAAATATAATCATTGTTGTCGAACTACAAAAAAATATGCAAGGATAAGCTTTCAAAAGATAATACAACAAGTATAAAAGTAAAGTATAACTATACTATCAATATCAACATACCAACACTTATAGAATCAACACAACAATCTCCAATTTAACAACTTACAAAATGTCAACTTACAACACAACATACAACTAATTGACATATCAACTTAACTTGTGAATATTATGACTATTCAACACAACAAGTGATCAACACAATAGTTCACAACACAACAACTTAAACAATGTTTCCACATATCAACTTCATAATTTATCAACACAACAACACAATGCGTTGTCATGCATTTTAACTAAGAGATTTCTTACAATACAGGTGAATAATCTAAGTAGTCTGACTCTACTGAACCAACTTAACAATGTGATCTTTTTGGGCTTGTTAAATCAACAACAAATTTGGATACAATCCATGTCACAATATAGTTTCTCAAAATTTTCCACTTAAAATAGGAAAGTCTAGTATTTTGATCAAGGTTAGGATAATTTAAGTGAGTCTACCACGATCTTTAGCATGCATAACTAAGTTTATTATGGAATTAGTTTGCTGAGTACCCTCTAAATATTGTGCCCATTTTAATACTTAGTTAGGGATTTTTGGCCTCAACCTTGTACCTTACTTGATTTGGTCATTTCATCCACGTGTGGCTTGACCTTGCCCGCATACGAATCTACATTTGGTCGCTTATAATCAGTATGACCCTACTTAACCCTTATACTATATCAACTAAGGACCTAGAGGAAACTCAACACTCCACTTCAAAAGTTAACTTCTCAAGAAAGATTTTTAATAATTAGGCTCGTAGAGCACCACAACACTATATCTTCACAATAGGATATTTATATTTTAAAACAACACATCTCTTCTAGTCCTAAATCAATCAACACAACTTAACTCCATGACTTAAACAATATCAACATAGCTACTCCAACACTACACAACATATAACTTTTCTACTTTCAACTCTCATCGACTTACAACTTTAAGAAACTTAAATATCAATATACATCATCCTATATCAATATATAATGAGCTAGAATCATACAACAACATACAATATGTGAGTAACTCATCAATCTACAAATCACCTGTTTAACACTTAGCCAAATAATCGACCATTTTTCATTTAGCAACCCATGCCCGATGTTACTCTCCCTACGCTTGGCGTCATTGTGGAAGAGAGCCTCAAGCTCGTCCACTCTTGGCACCAATAAAGTAGAGACCTCTGTGTCAATCACACCTAGTATGACTAAACTCATGTTCGATCTCATTTAGGCAAAGAACTTTTACTTGACTCATGTCCAACGTCATAACACTTGCGCTTGGTGTTGTCCAAGAAAAAATATACTACCTTGATCATGCCACCAAGTCCAAGAGCTCCAAGAGCATCCATGGCTGACACCTTTCAACTTATGTCTAACGTGACCAACTCAAAAAGTTTTCATCTAACTCACGCTTGATGCTATCAATCTTATGCCTAGCATCATTAAGGTAGAGAGCCTCTAGTATGCATCACACTTAACGTGATGAAGCTATACTTGGAGCAATAGTGAATTCTACACTTGACAAATTCACACTTTTACCTCAATCCACTTAAAACCCAAAAGATTTCCAACATGCAATACACCAAATAACGTCTATACATCACTACCAATCCATTTTTATCGACAAAAACAACATGCAACCATTATGTAGGTCAAATTCACCAATTCTTCTTCAAAACACCAAAAACTCCAAGAATAAGAAACCACTTCTTAAATCAACAACAACATAGTCATAATGATATATCAATCAAACAATAGTTCAACAAACAATTCAACAAAGAACGTCCAAGAGTTTCCCTTACCTGAAAGTCAATTAGAAAAGAGGAAGAAGATTGAGACTCTTTGAGGAACTCTGCACCACTCTCTCGAGGTTTCTAATTCTCAGTCCTCCAAGTCTTGAATCTTTACACAACTCTTATTTTTGAGCTGAGGGGAAGATCTAAGCACTCTCTAGAAGACTAAGAAGAAGAATGGAGAATTATGACTCTAGAACTCATTTCTCTAACTTCTCT